GGGGGGGGGGGGGGGGAATAGAAATACCTTGCCACGCATCTTGTGACAGGAGATGGGGATGAAGAAGAGGTGCGCCTGATCGGGGTTCTGCGTGCGGAAGCGACTCTCTCTGATGTTCTGGAAGAAATAGCCCTCACTGGCGTACTTTCCGGTGAGCTTCCGCGGCGTCTGGTAGAAGGTTTTGGGATCCCCATCGGGGTATATATAAACCTTGAAATTCTTCTCCATCTCGTCATAGTTGAGGTTGAAGACGCGCGGAGAGTGGTAGGTGTCGGAAAGGTCTTCCGCCACATGTCCCTCCTCCGGCGCGACGGAGAGGTTGGAAACCTAAAGCAAGAGAAGGAGTGAATTGAATGGGACATAGAGAAATGGGCGGGCGAGCGAGCGTACCTGGGGTGGAGGGGTGGAGTATTTGAGAGAGAGGTAGGTGAAGGAGAGAAGAGTGAGGATTGCGAGCAAGAGGAGAGAGGCGCGCAGAGAGAAGAAGCAGGATTGTTGTTGCCCTTGCTTCGAGGACGTCATCACCCTTGATTTTGATCTTTGATCTTTGATCTTTGATCAGAGAAGAAGAAGAAGAAGATGATGATGAAGATGGTGATGCGTTGGTTCCTTGTGAAATCTGTGATGTGAGGCTTGCATTGCGCTGCCTCTGCTTGCTTTCATTTTCTGTTTTTAGAGGTTACATTACATTACACTGTTTATGTTAATTCACTAACACTGCCTTATTCTACTTTATGTACTAAGCAACTACACCACTTATTAACTCATTACAATTTTTCAAATACCAACTATTGTTAATATTAATTATAAATTATATTTAAGATATTTTTAAATTAATTTTATAAACAGATAATTGAATTAATAAGGAGTTATTATCACTTAATCCATAATTTTAAACTTTAAATTTTGAATATGCTATTCTCTCAAATATTTAAAGGAAAGGTTTTGAATTATGTCTGTTTATATATTCTATTCTTACTTTCATGTCTGTAATTACTTGTTCGAATTTTTTTTCCTGCTTCTAGACATGCCTTTAAACGGGAAAAACTAGTTGGTGTTAATTTTTGTTTGAGAAATATTATCAATAGTAAATTATTAATATACTCTTTTATATATATATACATATATATAACAAACTTGTGAAATTTTAATCTATTTACAAAATTTACATTTAATATAAAATTATTGAACAGTGTAATACTTATTAAAAATTACACTGATATTATTATAACTCTTATCTTATTAAAATTATTAAATTTTATTAGTCTCACTTATAATAAAATTCAATAAATGGAGAGTGACAACAAGATATTTGTTGTTAATTAAAATTTATTAATAATTATAAAATTATAAACAATTTTTTTATTTATTAAAAATAATTACAACACCAAAAAGACTTATGTATGCTACTCCATCTTCTTAACTATTATGCGGATCTTAATGATTATCATAAGCAAGTTTTATTACATAAATGTGAAACATAACATAATTTTTCTTTCAACATAAACAAATTTATTTCATTTCATTCACCATCAAAGTGTAAATAAAAGTAGTGTTATACACAATTGATTAACCATATATATTAAAACATACTATTTTATGGACATTATATCACCTTTTTACTACACGGGTTTTAAATTTTAATGGTTTAATCTATCAAATTCTTTTATTTTAATAAATTCTACTCGATGGTGTAAAATATGTTAAAATATATTAAAAATGTGTTATTAATATTTTTATTTAACTAATTGTATAATGTATATTAAAATAAGAGCATTTAAAAATGTGCCGATAGTACTGCTCCTTTTATTATTTTCCATGGAAAAAGATGTGCTACTTCTATTTTTTCTAGGGAAAAAGGTGTTGTCACATTTGAGATAATTATGAAATTTCAAGTCATTATAATTCAGGTTAAAACAAAATAAAAAGTAAAGTTCCATGCATTAAGTCATTAACTCGAAAGTGTAAAAGGAAAACAAAAAATAACATGTACTGTATATGTTTTAAGCGACCTCAGATAATTTAAAATAGGTTCGAACATTATTTCCTCAGTAGTAAAGTTGATTTTTCGTGACAAACTTACTATCATCAAAGCAAAACAATTATTTCGTATGTCCTTTCATTGATCCTTCAAAGCTTTAGTCTAACTCTCTTGGAAACCACCTCAATCTGGATGGGTGAAAGTAAATATTGATGGTGCTGTGTTGAGAAGAACTTGTTAAACATTCAGTAAATTTTATCTTGCTTTTTAAAGCCAAAAATCGAGAGTATTTTCCATGGTCTTAACCGCTATAAAGCTTGGGTTTACACTTTACACATATATATACAATTAACTTTATTTCTAGAGATACCATGATATAAGTTTTGGTTTCCATTATATTAACAGAATCTGTCATCTTGTACCGAATGATGGGCCATTAGTGGAATGAATGCAGGCTCTCATGGATGTCAACCGAGCAACTGATCATCGGGGCCGGTTTGTGATGACAAATATACCCGTACCCGTAGGGTAATACTTGAACCCGTCTTGATTTTGATGGAGAATACCTGGTTTAACCGGGTACAGTACGAGTAAAATCCGATATATTAAATCGGGTACGGGTACGGGTATGTACTTACCCGCCCCGTACCCGTACCCGTACCCGTTCCCGTTTCCATTTTTAATTTAATACTCACTTTTAATTTAATTATATTAAAAAAAATTAATATTTTTTATGTGTGATTATTTATTATAATATGAGATAGAAAAATAATTTAATTATAATTATAATATAATAAAAAAAATAATTTAAAAATATCATTTTTTTTTCAAAAAATAAAAAATAAAAAAATTGACAGGTACGGGTACAAGTACGGGTATACTCAATACCCGGCGAGAACGAGAATGAGGATGAAAATCACATACCCGATGGGTACGTGGACGGGAACGGGAATGAGTTTGACTCGCGGGGACGGGGATGTGTATCATGAAACCCGTACCCGACCCGCCCTGTTACCATCACTAGTTCAGAGGTGTAATCATCTTGGGTTCATGGCCAAGACAAACTTCATTTTTTTTTAAAATTAAAATATACTTATAATCTTTTCTTATTTTAAAAAAATTAATTTAGTCTTTTATATTTAAAAAAATGGCTTCATTTCTATTTAATCATTAATGGTCAATGTTAAAAAATTTGAGTCAACCATATGTTACCATAATTTCTGATATAACAAAAGATCAAATTGAATTTTATTGAAAATATAATAGATTATATAATAAAGAATCAAATTGAATCTTATTGAAAACATAATAGATCATACTAAACCTACTTAAATACATAAAGGATTCAATTGAACATAAACAGAAATAATTATATCAATCCAAATTCAATCTTCTACGTCAAGTCTAATACAACCAACTACAATCGATAAAAAGAGTTAAATTAACAAAAAAAGAAGTTTCTAATCTTATTTTTCGAAGACAAATTTTCGTTAGTTATTAGAATGTAAAATATTTGTCTAATTTTTGTGAAGATTGGTTTAAACTACTTGTTAGGATGTGTATTTTTTTTATATTTTTTTTTACTGATTTGAGACCATTTTTTTTTAATAGTTACGTAAACTAAAACAATATATTTATAATGTGGTTGTTGTTACGTAAAACTTTAACTTCATAAAATTATTATATAAATGTACCTATTTTCTTAACTATAATTATTCAAAGTTATTTGGTTATGTTAGAATATATTTCATATTATTTTTAGGTTGCTTCAATTCTAATATCAATTTATTGAATTGTATTAATATATAATTTTATTTTCATCTTTTATCTTTTTAAGTATGTTTGATTTTTTTTCTTTTATGTTTTTAAATAAGTTCAATTTGATCTTTTAGAGTTGTTTTGATTTTAGAAAATGTTCTTTGTTTTTATTCTTTATTTTAATTTTCAAATTTAAAAATTAAGAAAATATGTTTAGTTTAACTATTTTCAATAAAAATTTGTAAAATATTTTTATCATAAAATTTATAAATACAATTATTCTATAAATACACATTAAAATAATTATCCATTTTGTAAATGTTTTGCACTATCCCACATTCATTCTCATTTTAAAATATTTCATTTTAGAAAATAAAGTGTAATAATAATCATCATAATTAAAAAAAATCAATATATATATATATATAATTTGATTTTATTACGATTCCAATCGTTAATTTTCTAATAAATAATTATGAAGGACTTTATTCTCTAAGCAATGACAAATCTACATATGGCTGAGGGATGCAAATTGGGAGTGCATTTTCACCTCATGACTTTAAAGTTAATATATTAATGTATGTTGACTTATGATTTTTTTTTACCTCCTATAAATTTATAATTTTAACCCACTTTTTCTCAATTTCTCAATTGTTGTTAATTTTTATTTGTAATTGAATAATATTTTTCTCATATTTTGGCCTTTTTTTAAGCTCATTGTTAATTCATAACAAGTGTTTTTCCTTTTTTTACATAATAATTATGTCTTTGTTTATATTTATAATATTAATAATAATAATAATTATTTTATTTTTTAAATATATTGTCCTCACTAACTTAAGTCCTAGGTATGACACTGCTTCAAAGTATATCTTTCACTTTAGAGGAGTTAATCCCATATCATAATAGGAAAACTTTTTTATTGTATCAAATGAATGATTTATTTTCTAGTAAGAAGTAGATCAATATCAAAATAAAATATGTATTTTATCTTTAAAATTCAAATATTATCTTTATGCATGACTTTTATATTTATTTTAATATTTTGTAACTACTTATTTTGTTTATAAGTCATTTTAAATGTCATCTACAACGGTTAATAATATTATGTTAGTGTGTGACACTTTTTAAAAAGTTTATAAGTAATTAAAATGAATTATTTATATACTTTAAAATCATCTTTAGGGACCAAAAATAGTGATTTTAAATTTTAGAGAGATAAAAATTAAAGAAAAAAATTTATAAGATCAAAGTCAACATTTACTCATTTTACAATGACAAAATATATTTTATGAGGACCAAAAATAATATCTATAAATTTTTTAAAAAAAATTACAGAGACCAGAATCAAAACTTATTTATTTTTATAAAAACCAAAAACATATTTATACAAATTATTTATCTTGAAAATTTGTTTACTTTTAATAAATAAGCTCAAATTTGGAAATGAGTTATAACCATATAAACAAAGCTGGAAGGATTGTCCAAACGACGTACATGATAAAAATGGTCAAAATTATTTAAGTTTTTTTTAGTATATATAGTATATTGTATTGTGTATAACATGGGAATAAAATAATTCCATATTATTTAAATATAAATATTATTAATAAAAATTGATATAAAAAGTTATATTCAATGTAAAATTTATAAATTATATAATTGTAACAATAATCTAAATATTAATTCTATAAAAAAAATGCTTCAATATATATATATATATAACTACTTGAATTTGAATATTACTGAGAATTTATGTTCTAAAAAAATTGTTAGAACAAATTTTAGATATTATATACTTGAAAATATAATAAAATAAATTCTAAATATTGATTTTACAATGTGACCGGAAGAAAATCGTATGATGTTTGTAACACTCAGGTTCAATAGAGACTCATAAAAGTTATTTTGAGAGTGAGGGTTAGTTTCTTTCTTTGTTCATTTTCTCTTTGACTGAAAA